TTTCCTCTTCTTATTTTCCTCCTCCTCCTTCTTTCCATGTACTTTCTAGCGTGTCATAAATAACCCCAACGACTCATAATCAATGAGAGTTTAATATAAAGGACTCTGATTTTACAGGTTTGAAAGTGATCGAGTGCAGTGCCGTCTTCATTGTCTCTATATATGCCTAAGACTCATTATTCACTATATTGTAACCGCACTGTACCAAGCAGGTGGTCTGGTGTATGGAACCCAGTTTAATTGCTAGCTTATCCTCACTAAAGACCAGCTGGCTTCGCAACTCACTCATTACTAAAAATACGACATTTCCCATCCTAAAAGAAACGAAACTTCAAATTACAACGTGAATTTCCTCAAAGTATGAAACTCTTGGGCTAAATCGTAAACAAAAAATTAATACGTTAACACACGACGTACTGTACTGTACACACGGGACACGAGTCAGGTAAACACAAGCACCTTTAAACACGACCTATAGATTCCTTCATGCTGACGTCACTTGGTCAGAGCTGCCACAAAGAGAGGTGTAAGATGTGTACTGCCTGAACGGAAAACTACTCTGTTATTTTGATGGTTCTATAAGTTATTCATTAAACTGTTGAATCAGACTACAATGAATAATTTACAATCACAGGCAAAGAAAGATATGAGCAAGAATTAGAGAGTTCGGGGCTTAAATGTTATCCACATCAGCTCTTAGCAGGACGGCCCATGGTAGATTCTGACGCCCGTATTATTAAACATCTTCCCTTGAAGAGGGTCGTCGTGTTTCAACCCGAGTTTTAAATTAAATGAGTCCCGAGGGACACCGCAGTACAGTACTTAACGGGGCGGTGTGGCGGTAAAATTAACTAATTCCAATAAAATTAATTTATAATATTTGAATTAGTTAATCTTACCGCCACACCGCCCCGTTAAGTACTGTACTGCGGTGTCCCTCGGGACTCATTTAATTTAAAACTCGGGTTGAAACACGACGACCCTCTTCAAGGGAAGATGTTTAATAATACGGGCGTTAATCCTTTTACTGAGCTAGATGGACTCGTTTAGTGTCCTCAATAGAGAAGAGTGGGAAAATTAAGAACGTAGAGGTATAACAGTTCTTTGGGGTAGTGCCAACACACCTCGGAGCGCGGCACTCAACTAGTTGCGCCACCACAAAGGGATACACTCGTGTTTTTGTGAGGGACGACTACTTTACAGTATATTATGTAGTTAATAATGTATACAATGTTATTTATATATGAATAATTACATTTCTTTACGTTATGATGCACTGTTTGGCTACCAGTCGGATGTATGAACTCGTGTCGGCATCCTCGATTATCGTGTTTTTAATTTTATAACATTATACCTGACTGTCTCCGCCATAACAATAACTCCCTCTGTTGATGACGAGCTCGTCCTCACATACAGAGACACACACAATTGCAGGGTCTCAATTGTTTCTCTTACTTTAACAACACAACATACATACTATATATCGTTTCTCACTCTTTATTGATTTTTTTTTCATTTTCGTATTATTATTATTATTATTATTATTATTATTATTATTATTATTATTATTATTATTATTATTATTATTATTATTATTATTATTATTATTATTATTATTATTATTATTATTATTATCCCCCGATGTGGGTCAGTGACCTGTGCCTGGGTGGGCTAATGCCTGTAAAAAAAAAAATAAAAAAAAAATTAATTAATAAAATGTACCAGCCAGCGACACAGATTGTACAGTACATAGCTGTGGTCGATCTTGCAGTAGACCCACCAGTCCCTGAACAAGATTTAGATATAGATAGTAATAGTATACTAATAAAAGGGAAATTCAGCATCTTAGTTTATACAATGCTCCCTTCTTGCCCTCAGGGTCGCTGTTTCTATACAGGGCGATCCCATTCCACCCAACTGTAGATGGGAATCTATCTTTACAAGTAGGGGAAGTGAGGGCTGGGATTTATTGGCCACGCTGTACATTTACCTAAGGCTTACGCTGGTATGCTTAAAACATTCTTTCCATTGGCAGACACTTTGAAATTATTCTTTAGCTAAATTCGTATTAGAAAATTTTTTTTTTCCTCCGTGGCGTGAGAATTCTGCCTTCGAACAAGACAAATTACTGGAACTTGAAATAAATATTTCGACCATTCCTTCAAAAAAATCTTTCACGATTTATTGTCTCCTATGTTAGTTGATTGTGCTGAATAATAATAAATAATTTGAACAAAGTTCTACTATATTTCATTAACATAATTTAGTGCGATTTATTAGTAACGTTAATAAATGTTAAAACAGTTTCCTGCGTCCGTTGTGAAATTTATGCCATCAAAACATTACCAGTTTACTGTACTGCGACGACCATTCCAGTGATCTCCCCAAAAATTGGACAATTTCCGTTTTATGTCCACGGCATTTTGAAATAATTTTATAATAAAATAATTCGGCTGAATTTTTTGTTAATATTAATCTGATTAGTTTTTTGCGATTTTGAGTTGCCAAATGCAAATGAAATTCAGCGTCCATGAAATTGTATTCAACTCTCAGGATAACCTTTTAACACCATGACAGGTGTGACACAGAGGACCGTCTTCCTGTGTTTATTTACGTGTTCTAAGGCGTAAACAAGCGGCGGGTTTTTGTATGACGTATATTATGAGACGCATGAAACCTCACCCCTCATTAATCCTTCATTACTCTTGACGAGTCGACACTCACCCCTCTTACCTGGTAACGTCATAGATGGTAAACAAAACTGGCGGCCTGCAAACAAACTAAAACTAAATTAAAACAAATGAACAGGAAAGTTTGTTCATCTTAGTGACTACCTCATATCTAGGCAAGCCTCAAGGTTATCAGTGAGTGGTGGTTGAGGAGTGTATGGTGATATTTCGTAGAGTGCGGAGAGAACTACTAGAGTGCGGTGAGGTTTCGTAGAGTAAAGTGAGGCTTCGTTAACGCGTAGTTGAGTGCAATGTACAGTACCTGTCAGGGTTGAGAGAGTTATGAAGCCAATCAACTCAATGAGTAAATAATTAATGTGAGTAAGAGATGTCCTGACCCTCGCCTTCCCCTGGGCTGGTGGTGCTTCAGAGAGGACCCAGATGACTCGCTCTTTATTTATTATTGTTTTTTTTTATGTTTTAGTGTTATTGTTCGCACCTCCCCTCCGTCACGATGGCTATGTCTGTATCTCTGTATGTCTGTATCTTCTGTATCTGTATCCTGTGTGTCTGTATTTCAGTGTGTCTGTATCATGTGTGTCTGTATCTGTTTGTCTGTATCTGTTTGTCTGTATCTTGTGTGTCTGTATCTTGTATTTCTGTAACCTGTGTGTGTCTGTATTCTGTGTTTCTGTACCCTGTGTGTCTGTATGTCTGTATCTCTGTGTGTCTGTATCCGGTGTGTCTATTATCTTGTGTATCTGTATTATGTGTGTCTGTGTCCTGTGTTTCTGTACCCTGTGTGTCTGCATCATGTGTGTCTGTATTTCAGAGTGTCTGTATCATGTGTGTCTGTATCCGCTTGTCTGTATCTTGTGTGTCTGTATTTTGTGTTTTTGTATGCTGTGTGTCTGTATCCAGTGTGTCTGTATCCTATGTGTTTATCCTGTGTGTCTATATCCTGTGCGTGCGTGTGTGCGTGAATCACCACACACTTCAAGCAGCGGTTTACACTCCACTCACTAGGGATTTGCAGACCACCAAATTATTTTACCCACATCCATAAATCCAGAAAAATGCTGTCACGTCCAGATTCTCACAGACTCCTAAGTTACTGTTGTCCGTAACTAGAAAGAAACGCTGTCTGGTTATAGTTGGGTTTTGTGGGGCCTGTTTCTTTTATGAGTGACTGTACTTTACCGGGCGATGTTCGGTTGATTTGGCATTCTGTGTACCACCGGCAAGGCCATGGGCTCGTAACACTCGTCTTGCCCGCGGTGCCCACCGATTCTGTGTGGACGTCGGTCACACTAGAATAACCCGATATAGTACAATACATCCTTCTTTACCCAAACAGCCAAACTGTGGAATACTCTTCCCTTTGCGTTTCCATCCTCTTACAATCTCTCTAACTTCAAAAAGCTGGTTTTCCAGCATCTTCGTAGTGCAGCTTAACATAGTCTTTTTCTCTACTATTATTTTTCTTCTTATTTTTCATTTTACTCTTATTTTTGCCCCCCTCCCCCACCCCCGCCAAGCCTCGTTGTGGGTTGATGACCTGTGTCCGGGTGGGCTATTCCCCGCAAAAAAAAAAAAGTCTCAATGCAATTTTGGCGCTATTTTAGTTGGTTGAATATTATCGCATTGGTTCGTTTAGGGGAAATATAAGTGCTATGAACCATTAAGAATCCACAACAATGAATCCCGGGTCACGTCACGTTATAAACACACAAAAATAAATTCACATTCTTATAATTAAAAAAATAAAAATAAACTGAAAAATATATAAAAATATGGGAGACTCAAATTTCTCAATTCTCAAACCTCTTCTCGCCCCGACTCTTGGCGTGAAGTGTACATCCCCAGTTGTCTTCACAAGTGTGCACCGCCATCTGGCTTTTGGAATGTATACCGTCAATTGTACACTTACAGCTTACACTGCCAGCTGGCTTTAGGAGTGTACACTACCAGCTGGCCTCAGAAGTGTATACCGTCAGTTGCCTTTAGAAGTTTACAATGCTAGCTAACTTTAGGAGTATACACCACTACAGCTTGCTTTACGCGTTTAATGATACACCTGACTAAACAACCATTTATCACATACTAATTAAGTGACGGATCACCTGAAGATTAACCCCGGCGTATTTCACCTGAAGATTAACTTAACCTAACCTAACTAATCCTCCCTCCAGGTGGCTTTAGGATGTTTAATCTGGGTGTCTAATCTTCAGGTGATCCTAAGTGACAGACAAAGTTCATTTAATACCTTTGAAAATCGCACCAAAAATATCTGAATGATATATACATTAATACAGTCCGCATCCCCTCTAGGTCTGCCAGGATGTTCACCTATGACCACAGGAACCAAGAAAAATGCGAGAAACTACATCCTGAGTAACAGTAGCAGAAGTAACAGTAACAGTTGCAGTTAGTAGCAGTAACAGTAGCATCAACACCAACTTGTGAGGAGGCCCACCACTGCAAGGACTTCAACTTCACCATGAACAACACTGGGCTCTGCAGCATCTCCGAGCCGTCGGTCATGCGGGAGAATTACCCTAAACCATTAGACGGCGTGTGGCACCTCGACCTCTACGAAGTTCTGAAAGTAAGGTGCGGGATGGAGTTAAGAAAGGGGGTATGTGGGTGGTGGGAGGGAGTATGTGGGTGGTATGAGGAAGTATGTGGGTGGTGGGAGGGAGTAGGTGGTTGCTTGGATGGAGTAGGTGGGTGCTAAGAGGGAGTATGTGGTTGCTCGGAGGGAGTAGGTGGGTACTAGGATGGAATATGTAGGTGCTAGGAGGAAGTATGTAGGTGCTAGGAGGGAGTAGGTGGGTGGTGTGGGAAGGAGTACGAAGGGGAGTGTGGAGCAGTGGTGGTGATGCTAATACTAATGATAGTGCTGATGGTAGTAGTAATGCCGACAAAAATGGTAATAGCGATGATGATGATGATGATGATGATGACATTTTCAATAAATAACCCTCGTCTCCCACAGGTGCTACTGATGGGGTCGGTGGTCCTGGTGTCGGTGATGGGTAACTTGATGGTGATGGTGGTGGTATACGTGAACAACTTCCTCCACTCCACCATTAACTACTACCTCGTTAACCTTGCCGTCGCCGACCTGCTCATCACGGCGTTCTGTTGGCCCACCATCGTCAACCGCATCACCACTCCACTCTACCTCCTGGGACGTGCAATGTGTAGGATCAGCGTCTTGACACAAGGTAATGTTCTCAGTAACGTCCTCAGCCAAGTTGATATGAGCCCAGAGTCCTAATGTTAAAATTTCCTTTGCTCTGAACTGTATAGAAGATAAAGAGATAAGACATACAGGTTGTCTAAACAGTCTCAGTGTTATCTGACGCCATTTTGCTGCTATTTTTGAGTCATCATTCTGGTATACTTTGTTACATATGTTCTGAAATGTTACTTTAGAGGGAAATTTTAACATACAAACGCTGTCACCTGGTAGGTACTCACAGTATCACCTGGGTACTCAGTGTCACCTGCAGGTATTCATTGTTTCACCTGGCAGATACTTAATGTTACCTGGCATATGTTCACAGAGTCACCTGTCAGGTGTTCACTGTCACCTGGCAGGTACTCAGTGTCATCTGGTAGAAACTCAGTGTCACCCAACAGCTACGTGCGTGACGGTGTCGGTGTTGACCCTGGCTGTGGTGGCGTGTGACCGGGTGTACGCAGTGCTGCTCCCCATCAGGGCCCGCAGTGCCTCTTCCCGGCCCCTCACTCTCATCATCATCCTCTGGCTCTTTTCCTTCGCCATCTCCTTCCCATTTCACCCTGTTGTATCCTTCCTCACCTTGGCCTCTTACAGCAATCAAGTGCGTGTTATTGTCCTCATTAATATTATACTTTATGAAGATGATTCTAACTATCATATTTATTTACAAGCTTACAAAGGGTGCACACACACACACACACACACATGCGAAAAAGCAAATTATTAAAGATTCATTTGATAAATTATTGTCCAGTAACGCTAGTAAGGGTTCATAAGTAAATGTTTTCTATAACTCGGTTCATTACTCTATAATAAATTCTCACGGCAATTTAACGTCATTTTGGTCTTCATGTTAGTGTTATTTCTTAAATAAGTTAAATGCGTTCGTATATTCCTGGTCAGAGGGAAGGACGAGAATGAATCTTAGATAACCTTAGTGCCTGTAGCCCACCTGCGTCTCACTGCTGCGACCCAAATTCGTTTCTGTAGTTGGTTGGGTATGATACAAGGGACACTGGTACAACATGCAGGTTACGGCTGGTGTCTTCATCCGGTATACCCAAATACTTATATTATCGAGACGGGTTATATGAATGAATAAGACAATGATAAAATAGCGAATACAGTAAAGGTCTGAGGCTATAAGGACCGGCTGTATTATCACGTGATAGACAATACAGTATCTAAGTAATGTCTCAGCTGGAGGTTAAGTGTCAAGGAGGTGTCAGTTCTTTGATGCCACTTGTGACTCTCCATCCGCCGCTCATCTTAATTTCTGAGGACTTAGAACTCTCTTAACTAACGTGTTCATCCTGTGACGAGCACTATCTCGCAAAATATAAATAAAGAACAAATGGGTAGTTTAATAACACATGTCTCTTATTGTTCCTTCATCTTCCTCGGCACATTAAACCACCGATTGATTTTAATCTCTTTTTTTTTTTTACACGAGGTCTCTTGTATCAGTCTATAGAAGTTGAAACGTATCAATATTTGTATACTAAAGTACTGTAGTGGTTACATTGACGGGGTGGTTATTTTATTATGTGAGCGATGCGTTGAAGCGATATGTGATTGATATCTTCTGCTAGTCAATATCAACAGTTTAACCATATCACCACCTGTTTGTGTTAGTCAGTACCAGCAGTTTTACCATATTGCAAATAGCTTGTTGTAGAATCATAAATGGCTCATAAATATCCAAGCTAGGAGGAGAGATTATCATGTACCCAACCTGCCTCATCGTGTCTGTGATATGTGACAGCTGGTACCTTTGACAGACGCTCAGTGCTCATTCGTTAATCCTAAAGTGTGGTGAAGTTTTTAATATTGTCTCGTCCCCCCTGGTGTGACGGCGTAGTGGAACGACTTGCTGGAGGAGAGTTGTGGAGACGTACTCTTCTCTTGCAACCCCTCCTACCGCTCTGTCTTCAATTTCTACAAAATAATGGTGAGGAGAACCTTGTTAATGTACTCTTAACTTATTTATTAACCTGTTGATATATGAAGAAGATATTAAACTTTCTTATCATCCAAGTTATGGCCCTTCATTATTTCACTTCTGTATTATGTATTGAAAAAAATAATGAATGCGTTTCTTACTGTTTCTCTTATTCGTGGTGGTGGTGATGGTGGACAGCTGATGGTGACGTTATTCTTCGTGCCGGTGGTGGTGATGACACTCGCTTACACTATCATCATCTTCCGTCTATGGTGTGTCAGAAGAGGACCCCTGACTGACCTCGCCTCCACCCCTGAGCCTCACATCAATGCCAGGCGCAAGGTCAGCTCTGCCACTACTCTTGTTTCATCCTCTCTATATTCTTATTAGTACAGTACAAAAGCGATGGTCTTCCTTCCAGCCTGAGTTTTAACGTTGACGCGAAATATCCTTATATGAGTCATTCAATTTGCGCTACACTCAGGGGAGACTCTCTCCCTATCTCTCTCTCTCATCTCAATCAGCCTCCAGAAGTCTCCAAGGTCTTCCTAATAAACAACACAACAATTCTCGTTTTCTCCTACAAATGATACTAATTCGTCTTCCGTTAACGTTCATCTAAACCAATTAAAGGTACTTCTCCACCTTCCTCTGTACCCATCTGTCATGTTTTAAAAACTTCCACATATTTCGACTTTTCATTTCATTCTCAAACTTAGATTCAAAAAATCTTACTTCAATCTTTCTCCCCAAAGTAAAGATATCAAGACTCGTCCAATTAGCTCTCTTAAAATGCAACGCGAAGATCACAACTAAAATGTCTTCAGAATTGCTACTGAGGCTCTACCATAACTAGATCTTACTAAACCAATCACGAATACGGAAAGCAACGTAAGAATATTTGATAATCTAAAGTCTAAACCATGAAACATAAAACAAGCAGTCTGGCTTAAGATCACTATCACCTTCTTCTTCTTCTTCTCTTGACAGCTGTTGGTGTTACTCGCACAGGCAATAAGATGTTAATGTTTGATTCGTGTCCTTACTAGATTGTGAGGATGACAGCCACGGTCCTTCTGACGTTTACCATCTGCTGGCTGCCCCTTCACGCCCTCTCCATATACGACCTCACAGTGGATCCTATCGATAACTACGCAGTATGTATGAGCGTATGGAGAAATACCCAAGTTTGTATGACCCTATGGAGAACTACCCGGTATGTATGACCCTATGGAGAACTACCCAGTTTGTATGACCCAATGGAGAACTACCCGGTATGTATGACCCTATGGAGAACTATCCAGTATGTATGACCCTATGGAGAACTACCCGGTATGTATGACCTTATGGAAAACTACCCAGTTTGTATGACCCTATGGAGAACTACCCGGTATGTATGACTCTATGGAGAAAGAACTCGATACGTATGACGTCTTGGTGAACCTCCTTCCCCCCTCACCTTCATGTACAGTTGCCTTAAAGAGTTCCTTTGTAATGATGTTTACAATGTGGCTGAGTCGCAATTGCTTTAGGATAGATGAATAGTAATCCTGTAAAGATGAAGCTGATTGGTGAGCAAGTCCGGGTGCTGGGCGTCAGGTAAAACTATGAGGGCTTCCCCACCTTCATAATATCGTGTTAAATAAGTAATTTTCATCAATCCTGTTTAGATGTTTCATGATGACTCTGAGAACGCCTGTGAAGATGATCCCTACCGCTGCCATGACCACAACACCTCACTCACGCCACACTCCACGATACAGGCCTACAACTATCCGCATATACAGTATATAACGCTTCTTACAGTTTATATACTATAAGCTACCCAATAAGTAAGTCAATTAATGAAATTCGATTGAAGGGGGGAGGTCTTCCAGTATGAGGTAATTGACTCAACGGAACTCGTGGCTATATGTTAGGCCTCCTCTGACCCATATATCCTTATACAGTATTCATATTTCCATATTATATTACTCCTTTCACTCTCATTACATTGTATTATTGTAATACGTATCATCCATGAATCAACCTCCACATATTATGATTACTGCGATTTACCAAGGACATGTGAAGTGGCGCCAGTGACCGTGCGTGAGGTAGCTTCCTGTGTATGATAATCAAGAATTACACAAATTTCCTCTTATACGTTTTATTTTTAAAGCCTTATAACTCATGTTGGTGTTCTTCCTTATAAGAATCATCTATGTGGATATTATTATTCAGTTTATATTCCACCACCTATTTATAATTTTTGCCAAGCAAAATTACGTCTAGAAGTCTTTTCCGTAGATCAGCTCCATCGTTACAAGACTATGGATTCAAATCCTACGTTTACTCTAGTATTGCCAACTCACATGATGCCCGTCTATCCTCTTATGACCTTGCACGTCTCATGTGACACCGAGATCTTCGTTTGTGATCGTGACAGTCCTTGTGTGGTCGTCACCAAAGTCTAATTATACCAAGTCAACCAACTTCGAGTCGAAAATTTGTCCTTCGCCGTGCATGACGTCATCTGGTCGGCGGCCGGGAGGTGGCCGGAGGGACCTCAGTTACCAGCTGGCTGTTGTCATGTGAGGGTCTGAGACAATGCCTGGTAAATGCGCCATATCTGAATGCATATCAAATTATAGACTACATGATCAAATTTTGATATTTCATCGATATCTAAAGGATAAAAACAAAGAAAATGGATTTTATTGTGCATGCAGCAAAGTCTAATGTTCAGCAAGGAATTCCTCGGATGTGTAGAAACAAGTACCTATATGTTGCTTAAAACTGTTGTATAGTCTAGTCATATGTAATATAGTGGCCATATTAATAAACTGAAAACCTCTACACATATATTTGTGTCACTGATTTACTGTAACAGCTTTGGGAGAGAGAGAATGATGAAAATTATAATCAATAGTGTTTTATTATTTTCTTTAACTATTTTATTCAATTCTTGTATTCCTTCTGCCCCCCCCCCCCTCAGTAAATAGCTAGTCCATGTGCCTACGATTACTAAATTGGTTTTACACTTATGCTGGCAGCAAAATCATGAGAGTATAAATAATAATAAAGAGAGGAAGAAGATTATTGATTATAATTTTAATATTTTATTTTATAATGTGAATAGGAATACCATAAACATAATGATTGCATGAGAAGTTCAAGTGACTAACTGAAACATAGTGTGCTAGGGGATGAGAAAATCAGGATATATGGCAAGAATATCCTCTAATACAGTGGGGTGGTCTTACCTGGGATAATATACGAGTCCTGCCTCACTAACGTTTTCTTCCACTACGACCAATTACGTCATATAATTAGCTCCACCTCCTGCACGTGGGTTGACTTGGTTTAATTAGACTTTGGTTGTCATAGTCCTCGTGTGGTGTAGTTGTGGTTCAAAATTTCGTGCATTTTGCCATACTCGGGTAGCCCAGCAGACCAAAGGGATTTTCTTTTCTGAAACACAATATTTATTCTGTTTCAAGATATAATTCCTGAATTATGTTTTTGTATTTGATGTAAGAATTTTGATCATTCTATACTTTATTCTTTCCAGAAGATAGTTCATGAAAGATTTAAATGAGTTTGTGGTGTTGGTCTACTGTGCAGCAGGTACAGTACAGTACAGTACATTGTTAATCATGCCACTTTACTGCACTGTCATCAACACGGTAAATGCAGTGGCTGTATTTTAAGTCATTCACCTCATATGGACCACCTAAGGATAATGTGCTTTGTGAAACTGTCGCCTCGTTAGCATTACTGTACACATACAGCTCTTTATGACACGATCGCCACATGAAAATCATTGTACATATATTGACACTTTTACCAAGGGGAACTTAATGTAGCTCAGTGATACTTTCATCACGTAGATATTAATGTCTTGTTGTTTATGACAATCACCATATGGCAGTTACTATACCTGTACTATAAACCTCAATAAGTCCTTAATAAACATGTTTTTGGCTCAGCTGCCGGGGTGGTTCGAGCCCGCACTCTTCTGGGCCTACTTCCTCGGCTATAGCAACTCGGCCCTCAACCCAATCCTCTATGGTGGCTTCAGCGAAAACTTCAGGCTAGGCTTCAGGAAGCTCCTGGGTCGTCGCCAGACAGCATCAGGTGCGATTGACTTCAACAACTCAATACAGGAGGGTCCTTGTCAAAGACCGTCTGAGGCACTACAGCGTGTGAGGTGTCCCATCCCCCTGCCCACCACATCCCCTTGACAAATAAACAAAATAATATAAGTAATGACCTGGAAATAGGTAACTTTCAGCAGTAACTTAGATTGGAAAAAAAACATTATCTTGTTCATAATCATGCATATCACAGGATATTTTTCACCGTGATAAAGTGATTCTATTCATTATCTCGCCAACAGTTCTCCATGAAAAAATAATAATCACAATATACAACCCGGAGTCCATGTTCAGAGTTACTGCCTCACCCATATTTACCCGTAGTACTCCTGAAGTGTCCATCGTGGTTTAGTATTTATTCAAGTCTTAAGTTAGAGGAAGGTCACGTGAAAATTACCTCCCCACGCCCTCCAGGTAGACAACCCTCCCTGCCTCCACCAGATAGACAACCCCTCCTCCCTTCCCCCACCAGATAGACAACCCCTCCTCCCTTCCCCCACCAGATAGACAACCCCTCCTCCCTTCCCCCACCAGATAGACAACCCCTCCTCCCTTCCCCCACCAGATAGACAGACAACCCCTCCTCCCTTCCCCACCAGATAGACAACCCTCCTCCCTTCCCTCACCAGATAGACAACCCCTCCTCCCTTCCCCCACCAGGATAGACAGACAACCCTCCTCCTTCCCCACCAGATAGACAACCCCCTCCTTTCCCCCACCAGATAGACAGACAACCCCTCCTCCCTTCCCCCACCAGATAGACCCCTCCTCCCTTCCCCCACCAGATAGACACCCCTCCCCCTTCCCCCACCAGATAGACACCCCCTCTTGCCCCACCAGATAGACAACCCCTCCTCCCTTCACCCACCAGATAGACAGACAACCCTTCCTCCCTTCCCCCACCAGATAGACACCCCTCTCCTATTTCTTTTGTTGGTTATTTATTTATTTATCTATTTATATTATTGTCATGCGGTAATTCAGTAGTCTAGTTGTTCAGTTGTGTCATGCATAGGAGGTAAGTCTAGAGTGATGGCAACAATGTCCCACCTGTTACCATTCTGTCATGCCTGTCTCTCTGTCACTCTTCATTACCTGCTCGTCTCCACCTGGCTGTCAGTTCACAGTACCTATCTGTTACAACACATCTCTCCTTGCCTCTTGATTATTAATATAAATCCTATTACAGATATTTGTTTATAATGAGATATTTTTCCATAACTATCAACACTAACTTTTTCGGATCACTTGATGAGTAGTTCCCCTGCTTACTACACCTGAGGATTAAACACCTAACCTACCTACTTGTAAAAGGTAGGTTAGATTAGGCTAGGTTGGGTTTGCGTTGCGGTGATGAATCTTAGGGTGAATCAAGTTGAGGCCAATCTTCAAGTGATCGGGGGAGGGTCTAATATCTGCAGTAAACACTTTTCTAGGAACTTGGTAAACTATCTCTCGTAGTCTATGTTCTATACATTGTTTGTCATGTAAGAGAAGTTTGGTAGATAAATAGTACAGCTTCAATAGATGTTTTTTTTTCCTGTGTAAATATCTTTGTTTATCTTACATATACTGTGCACATGATGTTTATATGTGCCCCACCGTGTGTTGTGTTGTCTTTGTTTTGTATTACACTAAGGGTTGTGTCCCCAACCACCAGGGGCGGAGGACGACTCTACATACGTCCATGTATCGTGTGAGACCATCATTGTGTAGTAACGACCACCACAACCACCAGTGTTATGTGTTTTGCCTGATACCACCACTACCACCACCAGTGTATGTTGTGACGTGTTCTACTCCCTCCACCAGTGCCCAGGGTATTGTGACGTACTTGTCTCCTACAACAACCACTACTACCATTATTTACAGACTCGTGGTCGCTTCCTTCCACTACCACCACTCTTCTCATCACCAGTGTGTAGTGACGTGTTCCTCCTACTACCACCATTACCACCACCATTATATAGAGACGTGTTCTTCCTATTATCACTATTATCCTGTACTCCCACGTATGTGTCTCTCAATTTTCACAAATGATGGTGATTTCATATCCGCAGAAAACACTTCTTCGTCCTATTCCCTAAGCTAATACTGTCGACCTATCATAACATAACATAACCGAACCAAATTATTGCTCATTGCAGTACTTTATCCACAGTAACCTAACCTAACACAGTCTTAGAACGTGAACTCTAACTTAAGTTGACTCACTAAAGCCTAAACCTAAGCTACCATAGCTTAACTTCAAACCAATATAACAGAATCTATCTTCGTTAAACATTATAGACTATCTCCACTAACTCCTTCACTGTGTAAGCCACTTTTCTTATTCTATTTGGTTAACGCCAGGCGATTTTATTCAGCTCAGAGGCGACCCCGTACACAAGAGGTTAAACTCAACTTAACCTAATCCAATATAACCTAAATCCTAAGGACCTAAACTAACATAGTGTAACCTACTCTGACATAACCTATCTAAAAAGTTAAAATCTAACCCAAATTAATTAAGCTCAATATAGTGTAATCCCCTATTCGATTTGACACGAACCCAAGGTCTGTAGACCTTGCAATAATCTACCTCTCCAACCTCACAATTATCAGATGTTCACGAGCGTACAAATCGTAGGCTGGGTGGGTGGGTGGGAGGGGGGATTAAAAGCTCGTACAACGACTTCACCTCGTAACTGGATGACTTTCACTAAAACACCAAAATTACGTTAGAAATGGCATCAAAGTTACTGGGAGACTCTTCCTTAACTACATACTTATGTTCACTTGATACCATTTCACGAGGTATCTGTATTATCAACCAGGCTCTATGATAACCAGAGCGTGTATTGTCAACCGGGTCTTGTACAGTATTGTCAACCACATCCTAAATTGTCAACCAAACCCCAATGGTGTTTTAGAACTCTGTCCTAATTACTTTTATTTTTATCTTCGCCACTGATGGAGTGATCGGTTCGTTAGCCGCTTTAGCGGTCGGTCACGTCTCTGTTACGCACTGTTGGCAAGTTGTGGGCATGCACTAGCTCCAAAATGTATCTGTACCTGCTCCAGTAACGGCTGACTTTTCGCTGACTATTTACCTCCACCTCCTCTTGCCCCTGATCAATTTAACACTTTTTCTGAGTCGCGTGCCTGTTCAATTGAATTGCCTTCTTCTATCTTGTTTACTTCTTTCTCTTCAAACCGTCTCAGTTACTACTCAGTTCATTGAGAACAACCGTCCATCTATTTAAATCTTTGATTTCATCTTCTTACTTTTTTAGTTGTCAAGAAAGCATAACCTATATACAGTTTATTTTTAGCAACTAGCACAAACCAGTCACACCTACTGTAACTTATGCTATCGATCTTAGGTTAGATGTGGTTTCTTCTTGTGTCGCGAGCTGCTTCTGACTGTTATTGCACACTATTACCAAACTGGCTTTGTATATGCAAAGTATGTTTATAATTTACGCAGGCTATGGTATATCAGGCTCTATGATAAAACTCAATTGAGAACCGAACTCTGGTTATTACCGTTATTGTTATTATCTAGTTTGTAAAGTATTTATGATGTTTGTAAGTGCACAGATATTCATATTTATTGTTTATGTCTGAATCCTATAATTACCTATATTATTCTTTAATTTGTCAGGGGCTTTTTCAAGCTCCATGAGCATCAAATCTACAATACTTATTATTGAAGTACTGGATACAGCAGTTGCCATTATAATGTACCAAAAGATAGTGTTTCCCCTTTAAAATATGTTCACAGAAAATGTAACTTTCAATTAAGGGCACAGAAAGTGTAATATAGGAAGGTATAACTATTAAAACATAAGCCTTGAAGAGGGTAATGTAGTATGGAATAAGGAAACATGGAAAACATAAGCAAGAAATGTGGGACAGAATTATAAAGCATATTTAAGTAATAGGAATAATAAGGAAGTGGGTAAAAGAGTATGTAGAAGGGTGTGTGAAAGCAGTTGAGAAGGATTTTGGAGAGAGTTGTCCAGAGGAGTGTGTGAGTAGTCCTGAGAGAAAATCTGTGGTAAACATCCTATTAATCGTAGTAGAATGTGTGGTCGCTACTATAAATATTCTTTGCGGCACCAAATTGAATACAAAAATACCTCGCCGGCCTTCCACAACAATGAGTGTTGGCTTGCCAATATTTTGTAGTCACATAATATATATTTCATGTAAATCCACAATGAAAACGTGGATAAGATAAATCTTGATAAAATCACACGGTGCTCCGTTGTTTCCATTTTCCCGTGTGATTTTATCAAGATAATATATATATATATATATATATATATATATATATATATATATATATATATATATATATATATATATATATATATATATATATATATGCATAATAAATCACTGTAGGTGCAAGGTGATCTAGGTAGTATATGATAACCACAAGGAAAAAGAAAGCGCTGGGAACTTGTGTTTTTCTTTCCTTGTGGTTATTAGTATATATATATATATATATATATAGTATATATATATATATATATATATATATATATATATATATATATATATATATATATATATATATATATATATATATATAAGAAGATTCATTATTTATATATGAAAATGCTTTAATTGATATATTAATAACTCTAGTACAGTATATAGAAAGGAACATGTATTTCATAACTGTCGTAATCATCTAACAAATGATTTAGTATAACCAGTAATATAGTTGTGTTGTAGTCTGAACATTAACATAGTGTTTAGTCGTTATTTTGTGGTGCTATAATTACTTATGTTATCATATTTCATATTATTGCATTTTTGGTTTTGGTTGATTTTATTTACCTAGTGGTCGTCTGGAGGGTAGATGACCAGTGGCCTGTGTCGGATCCCTCTATTGTTTTTGTTTTTTTTATATAGTCTTTCCAAGAGCTATTTTGAAGCCCAAAACTGTTCCTGATTCCACAGTTGTGGTACATCCAGGTCAGGGATAGTGTGTGTGTGTGTGTGGTGTTCGGGTACATGCCTGTTCATAGATAGGTGTGTGTGGTATAAGCAGATCAGGGATACAGTGTGTGTGTGTGTGGTATAAGTAGATCAGGGATAGAGTGTGTGTGGTGTTCTGGTACATGCAGGCTCAAAAATACAGTGTGTGTGGTATAAACAGGTCATGGATACAGTGTGTGTGGTATAAGCAGGTCAGAGAGACAGTGAAGCTCATGTGGCGCGACCTCAGTCAGTCAGTTTGGAAAGTTTAGACAGAGTTGACTACTGTTGCTGCAGCTAAAACACATTCTAACTTTGTGTTACTGTCAAAGAAGAGTTGATATATGTTGTGTTGTGGTAGAGTGAGGGTGTTATAATCCCAAACTACCTTTTACAGTCCGTAGAATTAATTTGTTTTATTGTGAAACGATAAGGATGTGTTATACCAATGAAACCTCTTAGGATGTTCTGTTATTTAATGGTATGATGATCCAATGGTACTTCTAAGAATATAGAAATGATGAGATATAACAACAATATAACTTGTCTTGAGTTGCAATGGTAATTTTTCAGGTATAGGAATGATGTGATGTCCCTTATAGTTGTGTTATATTCCAATGGTATAACGTTCAATAGTAAAGTAACGATGTGTTGCTCCAACTGCCTAATTGGGTAAAATAACAGAGGTATAATCGCCTGCACTTAAACCTGGTACAGTAGTGGACACATTTTGTGAGATGTGGCAACTTTTTTTTGTTTACATCGTATTAAAACATCCGGGATGGACCTAAGGAACTTCACAATGGTAGCCAGACTAAGGATATCATGAACTACGCATGCTTCCCTGTTGGGCTCTGTAAACGCTTTTGCGCTTCACCTTGCACAGGAATCAAGGGGGGTTCCCAATAAACTAGCCCCCTCGCGGGCAAATTGTAAAAAGAAAAAAAAGATATGTTAGATAAGGTTTCCATAGAGGTGCCACATCTCATAAAACGCGCCAGCCACTGTACCTGGTATAAGTGCAGGCGAATGTACCATGAAGTCGGGTAGCTCACGAATCACATTATGTCAACAGGATTCCTTGGAGGTAACGGTTCCAGGACGGCTTCAACCTACTTCACTCGCAACAATGCCTCACGCAAGACCTCCGATTCCCTCTCCCGCCAGACCTCCAATTCCCTTTCGCGCAAGATCTCCAACTCACTTTCACGTCAAATCTCCAACACAGTTCCTCAACTGACCTCCAACACAGACACCCAGCAGACCTCCGACACCATCTCACATTAGACATCCAGCATAGTCTCCAAACACGGCTCATATAGGTGGCACTGTAGGTGGCACTTGCCGAGTTAGGGTTCGGTAGTGCCTTATGAAGAGAGGAAAGTGACAAGAGACAGGTAGACTCCACGAATCAATACAGTGACTATGAGAATGGTAATACTCTGTGAACTGCGGCGCCGAGGGAAGTGGCAAGAATCATTAGAACCCCGTGAAAGAGAAGTGTGACAAACTTTTTGAGGGTAACAATGAACCACCTAGAGAGGAAGTGAAGACACTGGCGCGCTAACTACTAACAACAGTAACATCAACAGAAACAACAACAGCAATAACAACAAACAAACACACATTGTTGAACAGCAGTAAACAGTCCATTCTTGAAAATCTGCCTTCTATCGAAGTGAACAGTGATGAACAGTCAGCGAACAATAAAGAGACACTGGTTGACTGGATACAACTCACCAGGAACTGACAAGTGGATGAATTCGAGTGTGTAAGGTGGATGACCTTTGTACCACCAACGATGGATGAGAATACAGCTACACTGCTACAGTCATTTGATTGTTGATGTAGCCTGTAGGTCACAAGGGGGTGGAAAATAATGTTTGGATGACAATGTGTTACCAGTGTATAACCATATATATATATATATATATATATATATATATATATATATATATATATATATATATATATATATATATATATAGTAAACAATAATCACCTCCGAGTGCTAGGTATTGAACCCAACACAGCGGTGATTATTGTTTACATTGATTTACCTGTGTACATTACAGTTTCTGATAGAAACTATACATAATGTGTAATTGTACTAACAAATGTGATATACTGTACTTATGCTACTCACTTATCAACAGATACACATATTTAAGTTGGTAACACAATGTGGCTCTGTTGACCTGCCTGTGAGTATTTGTCGTGTAAAAACTATAGACTATCATACTGTTAAATATTATTCTAAAACTTATATAAAGCATAATTATCTTGAGTCACAGTATACGAGTACACTCCAGGGGCTTGTATGTGACCCAGTTATAAGTTAGTTCTGTATACTGTAAACTACTAAATATATCAATAGTTATATTATGAATAAAATAAAATCTGTGTAATGCATGCATGCCTTTGTGTGTGTGTGTGTGTGTGTTATGGTAAGTTAGGTCAGCTCTGAGTTTCTTAATATACCTTAAGTGACGCTATGAACCGTGTTTCATTATCGTGTACCTCAAACAATGGGCGGCAGGGTGCAGGCGGAGTATTATCACCAGCCTCTTAATAAGATGTTGATGTTATAAAGTATTACTGTTTTCTAGCAATTGTGGTCTTTAAACTCAAATTCTGCACTAGTAAATACTTTATCATCAATAATTTAAAGTTAAGGCAAGATTATGTTTTATCAGAGACGATGTACTAGATTTCTACTCAATGACCATAAACTAAAGTCTGTATACTCAAAAAAAACTTGGAGAAACGACATAAAATCAATAATGTTTATTATAAGTTTTGTGGGTAAGTCTGTGGTTTAGTGAAAACTGGACCATGACCTCGTGTGTTGTTGATCTGTTACATCACGTGCGGGCCTGAGGCAAGGTTCTGAATACATTCGAAGGTCACATTAATGCTGTATCTATTTTACTTCCTAAGCAGAGAAGGCTTGCTGACGCCAGTATCATCATGCCTTCCCTTCCAAAGATGAGGCTCTCATTCCTTGCTCTCAATGGTGTATTAATTTCCTCACCACTGGCCACATATATCGTGATGGGTTTAGATACCCGGAACAGATAATAATAAACCTCATCGAGATTTTCACTGGTCCAGCAACACCGACGATAAATACAGTTCTTCTTTCTCTCTGACACAAGCATCGTTTTGTAAAAAGAAAAAAGAATCTTGTAATCCTCATGGATAGTCAGAAGCCTTACAGAGGCTTCGTGATGCACATAATATCAAACATGTCTAGTTTCCAGTAATATCCCATCATTTTCACATATCTTCACGGCGGAGTTACATGTCACCTTCCCACTCACGCATCAAATCATAAGATACTGTTGGTACACCTGCTAGATTTGGCTTCTGCCTTACCTAGCACATGGGTTACCTCTCTCTATTTCTCAGCGCAAACAGAAGGTAATCAGCTCAATCTCTAATCTCGAGGACCAGAAGTGTACCAGCGTCAAGCTCTCCCACAGTCAGTCACATGATTGATCATATGACAGTGTCGTTGGTAGTGAATTACTCGTATGTAGGATACCTTACACCGTGAACTGTTATTTTAAACAAGGATCATCTTGCCGAATGCTTCTTACGGTATGGTTTAACTGTTTACCCGAGGAAATTTTAGGCATCGGACCACATTGCTTTCATACAGTATACAGTATTAGTATTATAAGAATTCCTCATAAAGAAGGGATAATGTTGTCAACAAAACGATCCTTTTAGAACAAATCCGGTGACTCTTTCATACCGTCTGAGCGTTTATCATGACAGGTGATAAGTCAGGGTTTCTCTGTACATAAGAACAGTTTCGTCACTGCCACCATGGGAATCATACTGCTTGCTGGCTTCATCCGGCGTCCACACCTTTAACCGATACGCCCTTAAAGCTCCGTTTACTGTACCTCTAGCAGCACCTCTGTGTTGAAATAAACCTTCTCATTTTGGACTAAAACAAATACATTGCAGGACAAAAACGTGTCATTTAATCATTGATGAAATGATCCAAAAGTGGGCTTCTATGTACAAGCGACCTTGGAGAATGCAATGGAGAATGTAAACACTCATGAGCACTTTCTTCACTGTTACTGGTCTTATTTCTCTAGATGCAGGTAACAGTTGTTGGGAATCCTGTTCTAACAGTCCAGTCCATACATCCTAAATCAAATACAATCGCAAAATAAACCCAGTCCATACAACCTTAATCCTCAAGGGAAACGACTCCAAACTTAGAAGTGGTTCGCGACTGTGTCATGGAGCAGATCACAGATATCTGCATGGGCAGGACCTAGCGGCACTGTTACATCCTAGGGAACGCGATCAAGCTCGTCGGTAACTCTTCACATACACACACAAGATATATCCCCAGCAATACGCGAGTATATTTATGTCGTATAGAAACACGTTTCCTGTATATGTTTAAAATATAGAAAAAAAAGCGTGTCTGCCGGACAGAGCAAGAAAGTATATATGTTTCAGCAGAAGTTCCACTCTATAATAATTTGTAGTGTAATAGTCTGAACTATTTAGCGTCAAATTATCATCTGCCGTATTTAAGCTCATTCCACTTTTCTTTTCTTTTTGGTGGGGGAGAGGGGGTGAATGTGATCAAATATAAAAACAATCCCGCAATCTTGAATGGTTTTATTTGCACTGGAAAAACAAATCCAGTTGCGCATGCGCTAAAGCAATATTTGACAGTGGTTCTGTATCCCGTAACTGTAAGCATGAACAGTCGTACCTTTGTGCCAAATCTGATGTTTGTATCCACTTTAGCACAGTTACTAAGTTAGTGGAGCGGCATAGTAAAGCCTTTACTATGCCGCACCACTAACACGCTCTATTTTCGTCTGTTTTCTTTTTATCTGCTTTATTTTAAGATGCTGAGACCCAGCCCTGAACCTCAGAGGATCGTACGGTGAATATTCTTCGACTCCTCGTAATTTGAAGATACAAGAATACTGTACGCCAAAATAGACAACTAAGATGAGAGGCTGACCAGTGTAGGTAAGTCCAATGATCTCATTACTTTATGTTTATAACAGATCAATGTCACCATTTACTTAATTTATGCAAATGCAGTATGAAGACAATATTGCATTGTATTGTTTTCTAATAAGAAATTATGATATTTGTGATGACTTTTGTCACAAACAACGCAGTTATGTGCTTGATGACCTTGTGTATAGCATATTAAAGCAACATCTTCTTTTAGCCATTAATCATTTATGTCTATTATAATTACTAATCGAGTGTACAGGCTTAAAGACTTTAGTTGTTGAGGCTCAATAATACATTATAAATTCAACATCAAAATTAGATGTATCTCTCTTACTGTTTAATTGTTAATGAAAAGTGCCCGTTATCAAAGCGCAGTAATATGTTATAACGCCGACATTATATTTTCCATCATTTCTATTAGTCATTGTCTAGCGCTTTAACCAAAGAAAAAATTATATACCACAGTAGCTGAAGTACGGAAATACACGTAAACAACAACAAACCTGTAATTATTGTAGTAATACAAGTCTTGGCTGTATTTTAATTCCCTTTAACATTATTCATCATAAAATATAAATATTTTCGTCGTCTCTGTCGGAATTTGCTTGATTAACAAAACCAAAAAAGAGAATACATCTCACAAAGGCTTTTAAACTGGTCAATGTTTATAACTTTCAAACCATTCAAATGAAAACATAATTACTAATACTGTACCTACCTATGAGCGACCTGCTGCTGACGCCAATTACAATTAAAATTATCTATTATGTATAATCTACGATATACATGGTCCACTTTTTCGATAGCTACAAAACTTCATCATATAGTAACATATCTGTAATGCGTACTGTACTATATATTAAAACTAAGAGAAATCTTCGCAAAATAATCATTCAGACGAGTTAAGCGCTGGTCACAAATTGCCTAACACCCACCACCCACTTCATATCCCCCGACACAAGTACCAGAACACAGTGTACTGTATCAGAACTCTACGTCAAGCCTCTGCCGAGTACCCGCCGTCAAGATTTTTAATTAAGTTCTCGTGAATGCACACTTAAGGGCCGCAGTGGAGGACCTTCCTTAAGGACCCTGAGTGTAAGAGCGCGTGGGAGCAGATAGAGGCTTGCTACTCACCACGTGTTGCTACCACATTGATATCAGCTGATAACCCGCGTGTGCGAACCTGGTGACAATTGGTGGTGAGGGTGGCGGAGACTGGGGTCTGGTGACGAACGTAATGACCGCGTTAGCCCAGACAAGTCGTGAGTGGCGCCCGGCCTGCTGATCACCACTCTACTGAGCCCCCATATGCCGTGACTGGCCGCTGCGATGAGTCAGTAGCCCGTCAGCGGCCGCCAGTGTGGGCTGACTCGGACACCACTATTGATTACGAGCGGTGGGTGCTGGTGGAGCAGCCGAGCTGGCCCGGCATGGCGGACACCGCCGCGCTCCACCGTATTTCTTCCTTGGTGACCTCTTCCTACGCTCACCTGGATGCCTATGTCGACGCCCAGAAGCTTTAAGACGCGGCTGCCACGCCCACGCCCGCAGGAAGCACGATGGGCGCCTGCATAGCCCGTTGCTGGCCCCTGATCGCCGACCCCAGGTAAGACACCTTACTACACGCCCCCTCCGTCACCTCAACATTCGCCGTCTCATGACACCCGCACACGGCCTGGACACAACGCCTGAGCAATACCCGCTATGCTACGCCAAATCCAGAAGTGAATACATCATTTTGTCAGATTTACTTATTAGTAATTAAGAGTGCTGTTCATCTGAGGCGGTGAGGGGTGTGCAACCATTCATGGTACCCCTTACATACTAGTGAGATTCATGATTTGCGTACTGGGAGTGTTGTTTGACGAGTCAGAGGGTTTGGTGATCTATTCACTTCCACTGTC